ACCTTTTACATTTTGTCCAGCACAGAGCAGAAATTCCAAGACTGTAATTACCCAAATGAAAGTGTATGGATTTTAAAAACACAGGGATTTGAACTGAAACTCTACTCAGTTTTGCAATATGAGGACGTTCTAAGATGCTAAAATAAAGTGTGATTAAACAAATATAACAATAAAGGAATGGAAGTAAACGTTATCTCGCCTCACCTGCTCAAAGTTTGGTTAAAGTACACTTGGTGATATTCATGCCTTGCCCACACTTGCTCCTAACTATGATGAAGCAGCCGTGGCCCTCTCACAGACACTGCCCTGCTCCCACTGCCCGGGCATCTGCCTCTCCACCGCTGCCATCAGCCCTGGACCGGGTTCAGCTGCTGCAGGCTGGAGAACGCAAGCTGGAGGAGAGTGGGGCAGACTGGAGGAAGATGGTGCAGACACTGGGGCAGATTCAGGCAGACTGGAGGAGACTGGAGGTGGCTGGTGGAGACTGGGACAGATTGAGGCAGATTGAGGCATACTAAAAGAGTTGGGACAGACTGCGTCAGATTAGAAGAGTTGGGGCAGATTTGGGCAGACTGGGTCAGACTGGGTCAGATGAGAGGAGCTGGGGCAGAGGAGGTGGAATCGGGCTGAATCGGGGCTCTGGTCTCGACCTAAATCCAGTCCTGGGGCTGTTGGCTGGAGGTGAGGGAGGTTGGGAGCTCGCCACTACCACATCAGTTATGATCAGAGGTGAAGAGAGAGGAGCCAGCAACTCCAAATAATGCACTGTTAACAAGAAAGTTAGAGCAAACTTCAAAGGAGCACTATGTAATATTTCTGGTGGAGAGCCTGCTTCCTGCTTGTGTTTATGGAGATGTTAATGCTCTGCTGATATCTTCCACAGCATGGCGTTAATCTATCTCAGTGGAGATAAAATAAAAAACTGAAGCCACCAGCCCAAGTTACAGGTCAGATCAGCTGAGAGGCAAGCCCATTGCACATTTCTGAAAGTGTTTGAAGCAATAAAAACATAGCGATATGGAATTACATTACATTATATAAATACAAAATAAAAGCAAAATACACAAATGAACTGCATAGATCAATAAGATTTGTTTGCTGTTTTTTTGTTGTTGTAAAAACTGTTCTGTTCTGAGTAGCTGAGGACAGATCAAATGACATTTGAAATGATTCAGGCTGTTACGCTGTGAGGCCTGTGATGGTTCATCATGCAAATCATGCAAAGCAGTAACATCTCCACTGAAACAACCAGGTGGCAGACCCTCCACTAGAAAAGATACATAGTGCATCTTTAAAGAGGGAGCATTGTACTTCCATGGAATATTCATTGTTAACCCATATTTAGATCACAATGTTACCTTTTATTTTCTTGGAAATGCAAAAATTGTTGAGGACATTTTGTTTTTGAAGCTCTGAGTACCCTTCCCTTTGCTTCTCGTGCAAAGTCACCTCCGTTTCAGAGCGCTACCATTACATAATCACGTACATTCCACTAACTGCACATCGCATCAGGTTTGTGAAGTTGTAATGTATTGTTTTATATTTATATTTATATATTTTAAAAAAACATAAAAAATTGACATAGGCTCGTGGGCTGAGCTCTGAACAGAAGTGTACTGCTAAAACGGGGAGAGATTGCTAGATTACTCAAACACGCATGGATTATATCGCCACTTCAGGCATGTTTATGATAAGGTACACACGTTATAACATGGTAGAAAGCTCCAAAAAGTTAAATTTTGCATAATACTACCTTAAAAAAATCAGTGTAAGGAAATCCACCTCCTCATCTATCACGTAAGAGGCAATGGATGAAGACAGAGTGAAGCCAGAAGAACCATCAGGTGCAGATGAATTGAGTCATGGGGCCTACCTGCTGCTGCCAGTCTGCTCTCTGCCCTAGATCCACAGAACCCCCCTCCCTCCACCCCTCTGAGGCTGGGGGGCACTGGGGCAGGTAGGCGGGGGGGCCGTGAGGAGGTGCGATTCTCAGGTCCCGTGGAGGAAACCGAAATGTCCCATGTTACAACGCTCCCGTCTGGTCTCACCTGTCAATCACGGACGGCTCAGAGGGTATGTTGATCCAAGCCCTGCGGACTCGACACACTCTCAACCAGGGAGTTCACAGGTTCAACTGACTCACTGCATATTTTAGCAGAGCTCCAATAATAGGCCTGATGACGCCTTATGCAGAGCCAGGGCCAAAGAGGCAACCATGGACCCCGCTTGGTGTCAATGAGAATTCAAGCATTGAGGGCTTAAGCTGCTTAAATGAGGTACAGGTAACCCCATTTTTACAGTTTGTTTTTTGTGGAGTGGATAGACCTTGACTACCGTAACAAACATACTTAAAGAAATTACACTATTTATTTTAAATTTTTGGGTAGGTAAGCTTTCATATTGAATCAGATCTTATCAAATGACTAAAGTATTCTGTAGGAGGTAAACTGTGTAACAAAGAGGGTTCAAGTTAGCCACCCTACTGCCTCCGCTCAATTTCATTTCTCTCCAGCAACTAGGTCAGGAATCAAAATACAATAAACGGTTCGCAAAAACCCCAGAAGTACAAGTTTGAGCTCCAGTCAATCAGTGAAGAGCCATACATTCGGTGTTGTCAAAGATTCCCGAGATCGAGGATTTAAAGCCTGAACAAAGAGAATGTTTGGTGAATTTTATCAAAGACGTTATTGTCTTTCTTCCTATGGGATTTGCGAAAAGCTTAATATACCAGTTAGTCCCATTAGCGGCGCATTACATATGTCACGACCAAATAGCAGCGATTGGTTAAATGATAAAAAGTACCCGCCTACCATCAAGTGAACGAATTCTAACGCTGCGAGGTCAGACGGTTTCTACGAAGTGAAACCGGCTGATGAATCAGGCTAGGTTAGGGGGCTCTACTTTCATCAGTGTAAATTAGGGGTGTAACGATATCCAAGTCTCATGACACAATATCGTCACAGTATAAACCTCAAGGTACGATATTTATTACGATATTTTGTAGGAAAGCTCACGATATGGTGAGGAGGGTCATGATTAGAGATGTAACAATATCCAAATCTCTCAGTACGATATTTTCACGATATACATCTCAATGTACGATATTTATTGAAATATTTTGTGGAGGCAAACACAACTGTGAATATGCTACTTTTTCGTCTTAAAATGCCTTGACAAGACTTAATCCAAACAACTAAGACTTAAAAGTGCTTAGAACTGTTGTTTCTTCTTGTAGTCTGCACTGAAATGGAGCAAAGGATCATGGTCTATGTAGTTCCTTCTGTCTTTTTTTTACCTAATGCTCCACCATAACTCTTAATTTAAGCAAAGACACTTGTAATTTGATATATATTGTGATGGTCCACGATTTTATTATGAGAACTTTAACGATACGATATCACGATATTTCGGTTATTGTTACATCCCTAGTGTAAATCTTCAGTTTTAGCTTTACCTTCAGCTATGGCGTTGGATGTATTTATCTGCATAGAGCCTAGTGGATGACGCCACCAGGCCAAGTTACAAGGCAGATCTGTGGAGAGGCTCACTCACAGTAAGAATACATGTTTATCATCGCGCAGTAAAGGTACACTTGTTTTTATTAACCAAATAGAGAAATGTCTCTTGTGTGTTTGACCCATTCTTCAGACTCATGACCTTCTTGATGTGTGTCTAGCCACTAAGCCACTGTGCCACCATGGATTATTATTAGTCTTTCTACATTTCGAAAGCTCAGAATGCTCTGTTCCACCTTGTGATGTCATGAAGCTGTAGTTTTCAAGTTAAAAGCAACCTTTAACCTTTATTTCAGCAGAGATTGTCTATTCCGAGGCTGAAATTATCCAAATGATTCTAGTGAAGACATATGAAGTTTGTTTTGTTTGAGAGAAGAACTCAGCCTAATATACAGGGTTTTGTGTGAATGTGTGAATGAAACAAAACAAAACTCCAGGTCTGTTTGTGAAGAAACAAAATTATAACATATGTAGATCAGGAAGTAGTAGGAGAAATTTTGGCTCTTTGGGTCACGTTGTAATTAGGGATGTGCAAAAATATCAAAATATCAATATATCGTATTGTTTAATCTGATGACACAGTATCAATATCGTGGGCTGCTGTATCGATATATCGGCAAAAGTATTTTTTGGTATATTTTACAAAATTATTTTGTTAGAGCGCTACAGTTTTGTCGTTTATTTAGTTGAAGGAACCTCGTTTATGCAACACATCTGACATTTTCACTGCTTTGATGATTAAAATGGGCATTTTTCTTATTGACTTTGCACTGGAAGTGGTTTAACAAAGATTTTTAGTATCAGAGCCATGATTAAGCTTTTGTTTTTTACTGAACCGTATTGAATTGATTGAGATGCATCATATCGTGGCCTATGTATCGAGGTATGCATTGTATCGACAACTTCTTAATGATACCCTGCCCTAGTTATAATAGTGAAATCCTAGCATTAAAATCAACAGTAACAGATGCAGAGTCAAATATATTTAATAGAATTATGAGTAACGTCCAAAATAACTCAATAATATAAAACAGCAAATGCAATCTTGAAGTTAATACCCACTGCCCGGCGCTTTGACAGAGATCCTCGTAGTTAACTGTAGCTGTAGAAAGACTGCAATAACATTTTCACGTCGTTCGGATTGACAAATGAAATTGAAAACTTGGCTCACTCCAGGTCTGTCTCCGTAATGGCGCCACAGAGCAATGTCCCACAAAACATTAAGAGATGATGGAGGGAAAGCAACACGTACGCGCAAACAGAGGTGTAACTATTGTCAGGTGAGGGAGGGGTGAGGAGGGTGGGGGCGGGTGAGGAGGGGGGGGGGGGGGGGGGTGCAGGAGCTTCATTTCTAGGTGATTCACGTCGGGAGCGAGCTTGCAAAATTGCTTTATGGAAAACGGCTAGCTGCGCGGTGGGGACATTAAGCGTCAAACAGCAGGAAGGCCCCCTCTCCATCAAGGGAGCGCTACTCTACTTTTATTACCGGGATTTGGAGTTTTATGGTTATCATTATTTGCCATAGAATTATTATTCGCATATATCTCCTATCAGCTGTTAGGGTTGGGGGTCCCGTGTTGCCGCGGCGATGACTGAGTGGCGAGCGGCGTTCTCAGGTGGTCTACAAGGTTAGCCGTTTGTTCACTTTTGGTTTTATGAAAGGATTTGTTTTGTTTTGTTGTGGTTTTTTTTCAGCTGGTTGGGGAGTTGTCGTGGTGATCTGTGTTGTCCGTAGAAGTGAGTGAGTCTGGGATAGATGAGAAGCCAGAGCTGCTCGCGTTCGCAAGACAGCGCTGGGTGATTTCGGAGCGTAGGCTAATCTGCGTCTCCATCAGAAGCTTGTCCTGTAAAATAAAATAAAACAAAATACATAGCAAATAAGTCGCTTCATAATTTGGTACTTGAAAGGCCCATATTACGTTGTTTCTGATCTATGTTCTAATGTTGTTTCCTCATCACAAACAGACCTGGAGTTGTGTTTTGTTTCTTTCGCACATGTTTAACACAAAAACCCTGCATATTTAGGCCCCGTCCACACTAGTACATATTCAAATTATTTTTGTTGCGGATGCAGTGTTCGTCCACACTAATCCGATTGAAAATGGCTCCAGAGACGTAAAGATCTGGTATCGCCAGCTCCTACGAATTCATCTGAGGACGGATCTGATCCAGCACCGTGTGGACGCCTGAAAACGCTGATACACTGATGTAGGTCTAAGCACTTCCTCCAGCGAAGTAATTCACCACCAAAATGCTAAGAGGCTAAAATGTATGTCCATTCATATGTACGATCTATGCGTATGACCTGCAGATGTATGATCTCTGAAAAGTTTCATATGAACCATCTCCAACACGACAGAAGCACAGAAGAGACTCACCATCAGCAGAACACCCCTCTGTCACAGAAAGAACACATATAACCCACTGAGTCGTGTCCTTTAGTCCGACAGAAGCTGAACCGCATCAGCACACAATAGTGAGCTGTTTTGTGAGCGCTTAGTTTATGCAAATTAGCCATGCAGTTTTAAGTTTCGTTTCTGTAAAACGTGAACAAATATGCTCAAAGCTGTGTGGAAAGGGAATGATTGCAGACACAGAAACGATGTGTGTGGACGCAGATCGTGTCCGATACGGTGATACACAGATTCGTTTCAGTGTAAACGGGATCTTAGTTCTTCTCTCAGAAAGAAAACACTCTGTTCCACCTTTTGATTTGAATACACGAAGTGCTTTTAAACTCACTTTCACTTTTATTTGGATCAATGGAATTGCCAATCTCTACTAAACAAAAGGTAAAACGCAACTGTTAATTTGATAACTACAACTTCATGACGTCACAAGGTGGAACAGAGCATTTTGAGCTTTGGAGAAGTAGACAGACTAATAACAAAGGATTACTCAGACGCATGTGAATGAAAGAAAACACAACTCCAGGTCTGTTTTTGACGAGGTAACAACATTATAACATGACTTAAAGCTCACAAGAATCAATTTTGTGTCATTTGTCTTAAAACGTGAAATTTTAAACTTCAGCACTCCAAAGTTATTCCTCACTTACCTTATGCAAGTGAGGAAGTGTTTTTCATAAGATTTTCAGAAGCCAGAGCAGAGTTTTTCTGCCAGTTTTTAAGTGCATATGTCATGTTTTGATTATTCTCAAATTTAAACTTAATTTGATGGGATAATACTTGCTGTAAATATAAATTATAGTTTTACACCAATCGAGAAGCAGTTTGTGAAGAAAAGTTGAAAAATATGTTCAAAAAGAAGTTCTAAACACACTGATGACACATATTTCAACAAAATAATGGTGTTTTGTTATATTTGTATTTGTCAAATCATTATTCAGCAGTTTTGGCCTACTGTTGCTAGGTAACAGGAATTCCCTAGTGTGATGTCGTGATTTCCAACAAGGATTTTTATAGGACAATTGTAAAGCTAAAAAAAAGCCAGGGGTAAAATCTCAACTATAATGATCTTAACTGTGTTTTAGTAGAATGTGTAGTCCAACCTGTCATAGGCACTTTAAGTAATGATAACAATAACTAGCATGCTAACAGCACAGTTGATAAAGGACAAACGTAGGGTGACCAGACATCCTTATTTACCCGTGACAGTCCCAATTTTGAGCCCTGTGTCCCCCTGTCCCAGCAGATTTATCCAAAACCAGTGATTTGTCCCAGTTTTATACAAGAAATGTCCCAGGTGTCCCTATTTTTAACAAATGTGGTGGATACCTCTGCCACCACTCCATAGTGTCAATATTATTTAATTTCATTTACATTCAATTAGTTACATTACACATACTTTAATTCCTTTATTTATTCTTATATTCTAATTTGAGTGCACACATTTTAGTTAATATAAGTCTGATTTACTTACACTTGTTCTTTTTGGTGTTTTTTTGAGCACCGGAGGGAGGACCCTTGGGAGAGGCCACCATGACCGAACAAGGAGGGGAGAGAGTACTATTTAGTTAGGTTTAAGGGATGGCCATGATTAGTCGATTAATCGATAATTGATCATTAAGAATTTCATCGTTCATTTTCATCGACAAACTGAATGCAGGTTGCTGTGTGTAGCGTGACCAAACAGGGGTCCGTACATGTGTCTCTCTGCACTCAGAACAAGCGAGACACAAACAGTCGGTCAGTCTGCAAAGTACCGAAGCACAAATGCGTATTTAACGATGACTTGTACAAGAAATTCCACGCTTTCCGTTCCGGTTGGGACAAGTGGGAGGCCATGTGCACAGTGTACAAAGCAGCACATATGTTTTGGTGTCCAGTGGGAAAAAGTTCACCAGGACACCGAAAACATGAAAAAGTTTTGCCAGGTGAGAGTAGCACAATGTCGATGACGAGGCCCCACCGCCCACCCCCCGTACTGTGGTGTCCTGGTTTTGACAAACGCAAATATGGTCACACTAACCTGTATTCCACTGAATCATGTCCTTCAATCCGACAGAAGTGGAACCACATCTGCGCAAAAGAGCAGTTTTTTTTCCCTTCACTTAGTTTATGCAAATGAGCCATGCGGTTTAAGTTTCGTTTCTGTGACAGTTGAGCAAAGTTTATAATGTCAAACAGGCTGATGTGGCTCTAGAGCAGTTACAGTTTATATGTCGTAAAGTTGAATTTTTTAATGCAGATTAGTCGTACAGATAGTAATAATGATGATAAATTATAATATAAATAACGTTAATGATTAATCGATAATCGATCGTTAATTCTCCCGACAATTGATTAAGAAAATTTAATCGAATGCCCATCCCTATTAGTTTTATTAAGTTAGTTTGTTTAGTTTGCTTTAAGGTCACTTTATTATCACTTATTATTTTCAGTAATTATTTGCCTTTTTGTTACTTCGATTAACTTAGTGGTGTAGTTAATTATTTAGAGTAATTCCTGCCTCTTGTGTTTAGCTTTATTTGGTCCTCAAGTATTTAAACAGCCCTGTTCCTTTGTCTGGGGGGTTAGTTTTGTTCTTTTCAGTTTGATTTGAGTTACCCCAGTTGGGCCCAGCTTTTTTGTTAATAATTTGCCTAATTTGAGCCTTTGTAAATTATATCTTTTTTTGACTTTATTAAATTTAAACTTATTTTTATACCTTGTCTTTGCCTTTCTGTTTGGTCTACTACAACAAATTTTATGCCTGCCAACAATAAAAAGAGGCATATATTGTCATTTCTTTAGGTACAATACAGAAAAGCTGCTTAAAAACGACCAAACCACAAAGAAAATGTGACTAGACTGACTCACGTGTTAGTCATGAATGGTCGAGTGCAGAACAATTTTCCTTCATTACACTCTCGTTTCACAGTTTTATTATTACCAACCACCTCAAACCGGGGGTGTCCCAGTTTTTAATTTTGAAAATCTGGTCACCCTAGACATACGCTCTATAATTATAAGTTCCAAAGCTTTCAAATTGCCCAGGGACAGACTGATGAGTGAATCTGCACCAATGGACTCTCAAAGTACCAGCACATAAACATTGTCAAGGTCAGTAAAGTGTCCAACCAAACAACGCAATGTCACAAATTGGAATTATACCATCAACCTTCTAGTTAATATGCCTCATAATAAAAATACTAATACACAACGCTTGTATAGTGCTTTTCAAGATACCCAAAGCAGAGACATGAGGAGATGAGCAAAGACAAACATAAGAAACAAAAAAGTGAATGAAAAGTGGTTTTAAAGAGATGGTTTCTTTTTTGAAGTTAAAGGACGAGTAATTCTAACCAGCTGTCTGAGCAACTGTGGCCTTAAAAATACACGACGATCTAACAGACCGAAACATGAAATGAAACTTTTAGAGGCAAAAATTAAAATTCTCATTTGGCACAAAAGTGGACCGTCTATCTTCAGGTGTGGCAGTTATTGGACCAAATCTTTTCCATGTAATTTTCTTCAACAAGAGATCACATAAATCTGAGTTATACAGCTATGATTAAAGGCTCTAATAAACTTTTATGGACGCACTTTTCTCTGGGTAGTTTGACTCACTTCACCAATTCACCAAAATTGTTAATGTTTTTCTTTTAATTGTGAAAATGCTGTGGACAGATTTTGTTTATAAATGATGTGAATTTGTGGAAAAAATTATAAATAAACACACAATGATTCACAACTTGTTCACAGAGAGAGGAGAAAGAAAAATGTATTTGTAATTTGGATGTGTGATACTTTGCCGGGACATGAAGTTAGTGGTGTGTTTCTGTGCATCTCTGTGTTGGAGTGTTACCATGGTGACACAATGCAGAAGAGGTGGGGCCAAGTCGCTGTTTTGCAATTCTCAAGTAAGTCTCAAGTCCAAGTCGAATCTCGAGTCACTGGCCCATAAGTCCAAGTCAAGTCCAAGTCGTCTGCTTTGAGCTTCAAGTCATTTCGTCTTTAAACCAAAGTACCAAATATAGTTTAGATTTTTGTAATTTATATGAATTTTAAAGTAAAATGTAGTTAAAAAGCCATGGTATATTTATATGTGAGTATTTATAGAGTTGTAGAAATGCTAATTTTTTTTGCTTTTTAAATGTCTTGACAAGATTTAAGTGTGTCCTTAGTGCGAATCATTACGGTCAGAACAAAAAGAATTAAGATTTAAAAATGCAGTTATTTTGTCGTGTAGTCTGTCTTGAAATGGAAGGATCATGTTCTATGTAGTTCCCTCTATTATATTCCCTTTATGTTGCATTGTACTGTATATTACTGTAGTACATTTGAGGATACCACATCACAGTACTTCAATTACATCCAAAGTAGCAAAGAAGTGGGAGGGACAGCTTCCAGTTTGGTCCTGTTAAAATTAAGCACCACATTTATCAGCTGTAAAGAGAAAA